AGTTGGCGGTGGGTGGTGATGACTAGCTGCCTTCCCTCTAGTCTTACACTGCTAAATTAGGGACGGCTAGCGCAGATAGCCCTCGTGTAGCTTTGCGCGAAATTCAAAACAAACAATATAAAATCTTCATTATTCTTTTAAAAGTTTTGAGTGATTATACTTTTATTGTATAATCAACTCCTTTTTTTGTTTTGCACTGTATTTTTTGCATGGATATCTCCATTGCATATGCATATACATATTTGTTTATGTATCTTGTTTCTTTTTGTGAAAGGTTTATCTTGTGTTTGTAATTTTTGTTTATTGATTTAATATTAAAGGACTTATTTGTGTGTTTTGTATTTACTATCAAAGAGGTTTGTTATATTTCATAATCCTGATTTTAAAGAATGCAACATGTTTTGGATTTGCAACTTGAATTTTTATTTAATTTTATTGATATTAGTGGGTACTTTTGTAAGAAGTTATGTGTATGTATTGTAAATAATTAATTTCTAATAACCTGTGTGTACATTCACTGTATGTATTTATACTTTTTATGGTTTATTCTTTTGTTTTCTTTGATATGTTTCACTATATAGCAAGAATTTTATATTATCTTGTATTTGGGCCCGGCATGGCCAGGTGGTTAGGACGCTCGACTCGCAATCTGAGAGTAGCGGCTTCGAATCCCCGTCACACCGTCGCTCGCTATTTCAGCCGTGGGGGCGTTATACAGTGACGATCAATTCGTTGGCGGTGGGTGGTGATGACTAGTTGCCTTCCCTCTAGTCTTACACTGATAAATTAGGGACGGCTAGCGCAGATAACCCTCGTGTAGCTTTGCGCGAAATTCAAAACAAATCAATCTTGTATCTAAATATGTTTTACCGGTATGACATATTACATGTTTTATTACATATTACAGACATACTACATGTTTTTCTTTTATTCTTGATATTCAACATATATGTCGTGTTATATGAACTTATTCTGTTGCTGTATTATGTTTAAATTTGATTTTATGTTTTAGTTTGCTTTTGAATTTGCATATATCATTATTTTGCAAAGTTGTATTCCTAGTTTTACTTGTTTATCATGAAGCGAGAATAAGTCATCCTGCCATCATGACCAATACACGAGTTATGTAACTGTCTTATAAATATTTTTAAAACTAGAGATGGTCAGGTTGGAATGAAAGTAAACGGTAGAGGAAGCTATAGTATGCAAGAGTACTATGCGTTTTTTACTACTTACTTAGTATACGTTTTTGTAATTTTCATACATAGTGTACATGTAGTTTTAACAATGAATATTGATCAAAGAAGTAGGTAAGTTTCTCTTGCCTAGTTACCTGTTGTTTTAGCTCATTTACCCATGGTATCATATGCGACTTCTCAAGGGAAATATTTCTGTAAAGTTCATTACTGTTGTTACGACAGCGGAAGTTGTGCGACGTTGGGAGCATGCGCTGGAGTTCTAGAAAGATCGAGGAACCTGTCGAACGTCTTAGCGTTTGCTAGACGCGCGCTCTTATTGTATATAAGCGCGGCAAATAAAGCGAGAGAATTAATCGGAACTGGAGTAGCAGATAGAGAGATTGAAGATAATAGACACAGTTAATCGAGTCAAGTGAGCGGTAGTGACCGTAAGTAAAGTGCGTGAATCGTTGTGAATTATAGCGTGTGTTTAAGTGAAAGTGACTGTGGAAATTAAGTGTATTGCAAAGTTGAATTGAGAAAGAATAAACTAGTTTTATTTAAGAAAAGACTTGTATCGCTGAAGTTATTCGGAAATAATTTCTACGGAAAATTAACAAACGAACACAGACGTAACACTATGAAATTAATTTGTTGCACTGATGGATCTGATGATATCTTGAAATTACAACTTCCCCGATTTTTCAAGGGAATGATGACAGTAGACATGAGTTAGAGGAAGAATATATTTGCTGTTTCACGAATTACATAAAGCTGTGTTTTCTCAATGGGAAATTCTTATTCTTCTTCTCACAGATATTTCTTGAAGCATCAGTAAAAGAGCCATCCTTAGTAAATACTGTTGTAAGCTATATTTTTATCATTGTAATATGTTTTGTTTGCTAGAGAGAGCTGTTGATCGTAATGAAAAACTTTACAAACTATCTAGAACAAAGATTAGTTATAAATACATTATGATTAAGAAGTTAGCACACAGCCAGCAGTGAATCAGTTAGTTTTTCAGTTAGTAGAATGCCAGTCATTCAGTGAAGTATTTGAATCAGTTTATGATGTTAGAAAACATGTAGATTCACAGTTTGTCTCTGATGATAAAAGGTCCATCTTTTGAAAGTACTCAAGTGCCAGGGTTTGCCTGTAGATCAGCGTTACTTTTCTCGAATATTTAGTTACGTTAATGATCAGTTATGAAACTGTAAAAATACATTTATTTGTGTGTTAGTCATAGTTCCATTAGTGAGTAAATTTCTGTTGAATTTTACAGTGAAATCACTATTTGTGAACTAGACCTACAACTACGTACAAGAGATGGTAGCCTGTAGGAACATTATGGAAGAAATATGCTAATTTGTTATCATTAAGTGGTCTGTGCTTGGTCTTATTTTTCCATATAATTTTTAAGAACCCACCCAATGAATGAGCAACATGCAACAATACATTCATCTTGATTAAATAAAGATTGTTTTCACATTATTTTACATTGTTCCAACCTCCTTCTTTTTCACATATCATTCAAAGTCAGAGGATTCATATTTGCTGCATTATTATTTACCTATGGTATCATGCATCCCTTCTCATAAAAAATATTTCTATAAAGTTGCATACTATGAAAATAGACAGTGATCATTATTCTGGTGGGTGAGAAAGCAATGACACTTATTTTTCGATGGGAATGACCAACAGTGAAGTAGGTAGCGCACGTGCCCTAAGAAGAATAGAATTATTGTTTTGTGTGTATAATGCTGAGTTTTCTCAGTTTAGAACAGATTCTTCTCTTCCACACAGAGATCTGTGGAAGCACCAATAAAGGGCTGTCCTTAGTAAATTCATCCATTTTGATTGTTTTATATATTGAATAAACATTGTTTTCGCATTATTTTACATCGTGTCCAGTCTCTTTCTTTTCTCACAACTCAGTCCAGTCAGGGGATTTATATTTACTCCCTGATACGTATTCTGTCAAACCTTTTGTTATTGTACGGAACCTACTCGTTCAGAGAGAAATTGGTGTAGCTGACAATTACAAAGGGTGATAAAGGCAATTCTTAGTTATTTTCTTGTTTCATGAGCTTTGGTTAATCGGTGACAAATATGGTGACAGGTACATGATGATGACAAAACCTTGTCGAAACGTTGTACATTTGCTGTTATGTTAAACTTATATTAAAATTTTTCTTCATTACCCATTCAAGCCGTCTCCAACCATTATTAGTCTCAAAGCGGGTTCCTCGTCATCGAATTTGAGAACATTTGTTGTTGTTTTTTAGAAACATCGTCTTTTTTTAAAACAAAATATTTAAACCCAATCACAAACTATTTAAAAGGTAAAATAACGAATATTTTTTTAATCTCTCATTATCAACACGAAATATTCTGATATAAAATAACAACGCAAAATTTGAAATATTGTTTTTATAATCATATTTACATACAATTATAAAGCAGCTAACGTATTTAGGTGTGTGTTTATGGCAATAATACTTTTTCATAATAAGTTTCTGCTTAGGTGTCGGCCCCTTCCGGAATTGATGAGCATCTCTCAGTCCACGTATGTTAGATTTTAATTTTTGTTCATATTAAATTATCCGTTACATATATATTTGACTCGGGTGAAATATGACCACATTACTGTTTTAGCATGCCATTCCATATCATACTAGCAGTTAATTACCAGAGACGTTTGAACACTATTTAGCGTATTTCGAACACCAATTGAACGTGACAGTAATTTGAGTAAACATAAGCCTTAGCGCCTATTCTTTTCCTAACTCGCATCGTAATGTAACTGTAAGTACGTACTTATATCTGAGTGACAATGACATGCCAAATGTGTATAGTCGGTGTCTGGTGTATGCTGTTCTAGTGTTATTGTTACAAATGAAACATGCAATGTGAATAAAATAATATTTTGCTGTTTTCGAACGTTATTTATTTATGGAGATACAAATGTCGGACAATTTTGTAAAGAAAATTGCGCTGGTGTTTTGTTTATTACCGTGGAACCAACGTTAGAACTACTAGTATTACTAATAGTGCTACACGGTATAGTAATATGATAATTTATAGTATTACTAATAGTAAGTAGTAGATAGAACTACTGCCAGCTACTACCAGTACCATACATTGAACTTGGAGTCACTAAAACTTAGTAACTCTACTTTAAAAAGTATAACTTAAATTTTAAAGTAAAACGAAGTTAATAAATGTACATGTAAGTTAACTTGGTCACAAGCATACTAGTTAAATAGCTTTACACAATGTCACTAGAGCCTCTATACTTTGGTCTTGCAAATTGTAAATTCATGTTATAGAAACGTGGTCACATACATACAATTCTGACATTTTGAGTGTTATGTCTGGATGTCTGCATCATTTTAAATAATACCATTCAAGTTTCTTAACTACTGGTTGGGCGACTGCATGGATAGTGTAAAAAAATGTGTTGAACAAATGAACTGAAAAGATTATGTAAATAAATATTACTAAGAGTTATTTCAATATAATTTTGATAACTAATAGTTTTTCCATTAAGTTTGAAAAAAAGGTGCTCTGGCAAAAGTGTGTATTTATGTCTGGTACTTTTTTAGACCAATACAATACAGTAGTTGTTTATTTAGTTCCAATAAAATTATTGCTTGTAACTTTGCAAGTGTAATTGACCAAAGAACATTCAAACAGCTTCTCTAACAAATAAGATACTAACTCTGATAATAATAGTACTGTACATATACTTAGCTTGTTTTTCTATAGTTGTTTTCTTTTCTGAATCAGTCAAGTGAGAAAAAAAAGAAGTCCAGAGCCCAGTTTCTCAGAAAGATTCCAATTTCTCAAATCTAAAAGCAGAGAAACAGCAATAAGTACAAAATATACAGTTGTTATAACTTAATTTTAAAAAATGTGTAAATGAAAATAAGTATAATCAGAATAATTGGAAAATACTTAAAAGTAATAAGTGTGAAATAAACATACACTTACATTAAGAAAATTGAACAGAAAGAGAAGGAAAAAGTAAGGATATTTCAGTCCTAACATGCTGTGTATTTTGTTCTATTTCCGTTGTATCTTTTGTATATGAAGTAAATTGATTGGCTGAGGTCCTTTAAAAACTACAATAAGTGTATGTTTATTGCTATATGTGCATGTTCTAATAGCAACATTAATATATAGGTGTTTTGTACTGCAGACTGTGTATTTACACTTTTAGGTTCCATCTTGTAGTCTTGTAAGCAAGTTTTCTTGCATTTGCAAACAACTCATTTAAAAATGTAAGATTTTATTTTGTCTGATGTTATAGAGCATAACCAGAAAATAGGGTTATCCTTTTGCTATAACCTGAGAGTCCCCATAACTCAATGCTATTTACATCATCATACATTAATAAGTGCACAGCTATTATTATTAGGATAGATATAATCATTGTGTTGTAAATTTAACATTTATAATCAAAGCTTTCAAAACTTGATACTGACTTTTTCTTGAAATTGAGAAATGCACTATTTTGTATCCAGTGATCAGCTTTCAATACAAAATGTGGGTGGAATCAAAACAATCTTGCCTCTGTGCGGAGACAAATGTATAATGAAAGAGTTAGTAAACTCTGTATTACATTTTTTGTTAGTGCACACAATATTCTTCTAACAATGAAAAAATCTATGCAATTAAAACCAGACAAATGAATAATAAAAAAAAACTAAATTGGCAATGCTGTTAGTCTTTATGATTGGTTCACTAAAAGTTGTTCATTGACTATGGTCTAAGATGATTGGTTTTCATTTTTGTTGCAATTGCTGCCTGTCTGCATTCAATAAATTTATTATATTAGTAAAAAAAAAGGTTGCTACTTTAACAGCATTTTTGATTTATTTATTGAAGTTACTCATAAGCTATTACTTGAGATAGCTTTTTCTTTTTTGTTATTCAGTTTGTGTTCATTGAAACACATTTTGATTATCACTTACCGTGTCCATATATATATATATATATATATAACATTTAGTAGTGGGTCAGTTCATAATGAAAATGAAACATAAAAACAGATGACTGTGTGAGTAAATAAATCTATGATAATACTGATGTAACATAGAGGCAACGAGGGATAATTTGATCCTTCAAGAAAAATAAAAATTAACCCACTCTTTATTTTTCTGGGAATCATCATTTCCTCTTTTTAATTCATGTAAGGAGATGTCACCATAACTGCTGATGACAACTCATCCCATAAGCTAATCACCTTGTAAGAAAAATATAACTGCTTTATTCAGATCCTTGCCTGTCTTTTCTAAACCTTAAACTTGTGTCATCTCATTCTGCTGTCTTCAGAATTAAGCACAAGGAGCAAGTAAGCTAGATGTCATAACCTATTCCAGTGGTTCCCTACCTTTTCACCACCAAGGATCCCTTTATTATTATTTTTTTCCCCACAGACTTCATGTTTTTGAAAGATTCTGTCAACCCAACATACTCAGAGAGCTAGAAAAATTGTGACAGGTATAGAACAGTCTCAGCTTTTTATGTGTTATTATTCTGTGTCCTTCTGTGCAATATTTATTAAAGAAAATAGCTCATGAACCCTCAGTATTACCTTTGTGAACACCTGGTTGGGAACCACTGACCTATTCCCATGTAATAATCTTTCCACCCTAGAATAATCCTTGTAGCCATTCTCTGAACTTTTCCAATAAGTAAGTATCCTTCCTTAGATAGGAGGCCAGAACTATGCACAGTATTATAGCTGGTATCTAGCCTGTAATTTAAATAGATATTTATATGTATATATAATTGCCTGCATTGACATTATCAATGTGTATTAACATATCCTAAAATTTTATTAGCTTTACTATTAGCAAAAGAGCCTAACCTGATGACTTGAATGACCACTCTGTCAATATGCTTTTCTACAGGCTAGTAAACTATTATTATTCGATGACGAGGAACCCATTTTGAGACTAATAATGGTTGGAGATGGCTTGAATGGGTAATGAAGGTACCTGATGATGACAAAACCTTGTCAAAACATTGTACATTTGCCGTTATATTAAAGTTTTTTTTCATTACCATTCAACCCATCTCCAACCATTATTAAACTGTTAGTATATTGAGTGGGTTTTCATTTATATCAAATGTATAATCCAAGTAGCTTGTGGGTCAATAAATATCATCTTAGAATTACTTTTGTCAGAAAGGTTAGCAGTCACTGATCTAGACACCACAATTACTTCAACTCTTTTGCTATGGCCAAGTTAAATGTCATGACCTTTTACAGCACTACATTCAAAATTTAATTAAATCACTTTATTATAAATTATGTAAATAAACTTGGTATGAACACATAGTTTATCTTAGTTTAAAAAAAACCCATTAAAAGACTATCAATCTTTATTTTTCTGTGTCACATGATATACCTGACTTTACCCCTTCAAAATTGTGTATTGTCTAATATAGGCTATAGCAGTTTCTAACCAATTAGGAACACAAACTATACATATTTAAAAATAAGAATCCAAAAATTGCAGTTGATTTATTGAAATATTGATACATTTGTTAAACCCAACAGAGAATCCCCTTCATTCTCACTTTGACTTTATTAGTCAACTTAACATGGCTGATGGACATGTTTATAACTAATAGGATCTCCTCCTTAGGAAGTTATTTATCATTTGTTTACTTTTGATGCCTCTGTTATCCAATTGACCAAAGTCTTTGCTGTGTGATTATTATGTTGCTACTCCAAATGATTAACACAACTGTAACCTACTTATAATTTGTTCAGGAAACCAGGAATAATAGTTTTGGGGCATTATGTTATAGTGAATGATATATTTGTAGTGTTCTCAAGTGCATATTTGAAAGCTGCATGAATTCATTTTTGGAAACCCAATTTTGTAAGACTCAATGAAGTTTACAGAAGAACATCTATTCAAGTGTCAGTGAGTGCTAAAAATCCTTGTTTTTTATGTATGTTTTTATTCCTTGTTATATATTTTCTAACAGAAGTATAAATTCACTGTGCCCGCATCCACAACCAAAAACTCACACGTCAGGACCTAGTACAAAACACCAAAGTAAAC